GCCAGCACAGAGACTTGGCAAAGCAACAGGCATCTATGATGTCAGCAAAGATGGTGGCAGCACCGTCGTCTTTGAAGACCCAGGGTGATGCACCTTCCCACAGCGATCGAGAGTCGTCAAGGCAGTTCTCAGAAAATCGATCTAGTTATTTCCCTCGTGATTGGCGTAGGGAAAGGCCACAGCGCTCTTGCAAACGACCCGAACGTGACAGCAATGGCCGTAGAGACCAATGTGAGCAACAAGATCGTCCGCGTCCGTTTTCGAACCAACCCAATCAGGGCGAGGCTAAGGCTGCGCCAGTCAATAAGTCCAAATGTCGTGGGCGTAGCCCCGGCCTCCTATTTTATTCCCATTTTCTCCGATTTATTCCACGTTTATACGACCCTCCAAACGTCCTCGGCGCATTAGCGCCGGTTTACAAGTCCTAGCTGCGCGCTAACACCTTGAAACGCATCACCAACGGGCACGCATCAAACGCATCAGACGCACCTGCATCGCCGCCGCCTCGTCCCGCATCACGCTTCCTCGGTAACAGCCGCACTCCGATCTCCATCGGACATCCAATCCCCGTCGGCCCGACAACGTCATACACCATGACACACCGGCCCCCGTCTATCTCCGAGTCCGATCGGCAACGGACATCCTATCTCCGTCAGGCCCGACAACGTCATCAGATATGACACACCGGCCCTCGCTTCTCCGCCAAAGTCCCCTAGACACTAGCAGCCGCTGTAGCAACAGTTGCTTATGTAACGCCTGGTCCGTGCGCAGTCTGACTAGTATATAAGAACCCCCTTTGTCGCTACCTAGCCCCATCTCAACCTCTTGGTTTATTGGGCTAGGTAAGCCTTTGTCTATACATTAGAATAGTAACTAATACACTTGGTTTATTGGGCTAGCTGAATAAGCTAACGCACAGTCGCCAGACCTCGTCGGCGCCACCTTTTGATTAGATCCACCGAGTATCCCTCGTGGTGTGTTGACGCAAGTCCACATCATTAGGTTGAGATCTTCGTGCACCCGGACTATTCCCTCCATCCAGTGCCCCTTGCACAGTTTTAAACAAGTTTATTCCTACCGTTTGAAGAGTAAGTCTCTTCGGCGATTGGTGGCAGATGTACGCGCGCAGCGCTAATCCCTGCATAAAACCAGTGCCGAAGGATTTGCCCTATCGCCCCCGCGCTTTCAAACACCTCGCGGACGAGCGCCACCCACGCCTCCAACGCGCGCTGCCCGAAGCCGTATTCGACCAACTCAGTCGAGAACGCGAAGCAGGCGCCCCACACCAGTACATCACCACCGAGCTCCGTGCCATTGTCAAGCACGTCTCCACGCTCCCGCCTCCTTCCACCGCCCTCCCGACTATCGACTGGGACGCAGTCGAGCAGGCCAAGCTCGCGGCTCACGATGACTGCCAGCACTTTCAGGCGCAACGCGATCAAGCCCGCGCTAGGCAAAACGCGCACGCCAGCACTTCTTCCAGCCGCCCTCTAGCAGATCGTCTCACCACCGCCCCTACCTACACTCCCATCGCACCGAGACCCATCACCATCGACTTCTCCCGCTACACCGCTGCCGACCTCGCCCGCATCTTCACGCCGAAGTTTGCCGCCACTCTCAAACGTTTCAACGTGCTCGAAACGCTCGATTGCCCCGACGTCCTCACCGACGACATCAGCGCCGTCTTCAAGCTATGCGATCGCCTCGCTCACCTCGACCGCACCCTCAAGGACGTCTCACGCGTCATCAGCATCGAGGAGTGAAATCGCTGGGACTCAGGACTAAAGCAGATCGGCGGGATCTTGTTCAAAGGACTGCGGCGAAACCGAGTCCAAGTTTTCAAAGCACTTCGTGCGGTTTGGGTAAACGGGTACTTTGATTAGATAAGCTGGACGAGTATATAGTTTTTGAATACATAGACTACGACGAGGAATGAATCCTCGATCCGTATATACTAGATTACGCGCTCGACCATCTCGTCGAGCTTGAATTAGTACAACTATTTCTAGAACTCCCTTTCCACTATCTATAAACCCATTTTCAGTCCTTTCGGACGAATCAGAAACCGTGGCAGACACTCGCCTAGCTTGCGCGGCCTTCGCTCACGTCTTCAACTTCGAAGAAGCACGAGACTACCACTTAGACGAAAGGAGAGAGTTAAAC